GGTGATCTCATTGAAAAATATTCCATTTCTTCGTTCGATATAACGCTGGACGTGTTTGATGCTCGTTAGTTTTCCTGTTGGTTCCGATGGTGCATACCTTGTTCTCATGAAGCGGAAGATGCTTACTCTTCCGGAATACCTGGTCTTATTTCTCCTTGTACCTTTTTTAGGAGTCTTTGCGTGTAAATCTTTCTTTAGTTCATATCATGCCCTAGTTTTATGGAAATGAGTCAGGATCATGATTTTGTTGACATGTTGGTATTTTCTTGATGTTCTTTATAGTCAAGTGACCGTTAATGCTAATTGGCATTATGTATTTACTTGTCACTGTAGAGCTCTTTCATTATTCAGGGACTGTTATAGATTTAAAGCACATTTTATCGACATTTTACACGTGTGGCAGGATCTATAATTTTAATATTTGTATTGAATTGTCTCAGTATTGTATTAGTCTTATTTATTAGTTTCGTTTATACTGTATGCGTCTAAGTGTTTAGTCTAGTTTTCGTCTGCTTATATCGTATCGTTTGGTCATTGGTCAGTTTTGTCTTTGTCTTACGTCACAATCTTGTGTCTTATTTTATTGGCTCTTGTCCATTTCGCGCTTTTTGTTTGTTCCGGTCATTGTCTGACTGGACAGTGAGGTGACCAGAGAAATTGTAAAGTAGTGCGGGTGAATATCTGCAAACCTCATGTATAACTGTAAGTTTTGCTATTTTATTATCCTGCAAACTCCACTGATTGCATTTGTGTCGATTACTAAAGTATATTTGGTATCAGAAGTCAGATTTAAATTACTTTCATTATCAATATTTTTCTGTAATACTAGTTTGTACTTGTGCCGATAATCTCAAGTAATGATATTATTTGAATATCTGTATTTCTAATTTCCTATCTAGGTATATCATTATCACATAATGTTACTACCGATTTAGTTCCGTAATTTAGATCTGTACATTTGTAACTTTACAGACCCGCTCACCTGTACGATGCCGGTCATATTTACAACAGACAAGATTTCCCCTATAACTCTGTGCCATACACAGGTAATTTTGATAATTGTATTTTTAGTATGTATACAGATAATTGTACAACTGTATGTTATATTTTTATTTTCCGTACTTACCGTATAACGTACTGTATATCTATACCGAGCTAGTTCATATTTTACCTGTATATGAAATAAGTCAGTCAGAACACATTGTTCAATGTAATATCTTTCGTTTATATATCCAGTGCAGTATCAACTATATCTGTAACTGTTATAGTTTTTTTATACTGTGATACGTATTAGTTGAGCCAGTGCTACATGTAAACTAGTATTGTAACCGTGACGTATTAGTTATCACGTAATAGGTGTATTGTACTTGTATATTTATCTGTGTGAAATGTGTCGTATGGTCAACTTTATTATGTACATTATCGTTATGTTGTTTTATCTTTGTTATTGCAGAGTTAATCTCTTGTCGCCTGCAATAAAAACCAGGTTAATGGTTGAGAAACTTACGAAGGTGTTGTTGTGGTGTTTTGCCCATAACCCGACCCTGTAACACACGTGTCATTACTTATTTATAAAGTCATTAGATATATTTGGAGAAATCTCCATGCGCATGTGTTTTGTATTGATCAGTTCGATAGACCTAGCAAACAGAGTGTATCGTGCGCCACTTAGTCCCTATACCATGGCGGCGTCGCATGCTTTTTCCGTGATGCTTGTGCTCATAGACTTTGTAAAAGGAGGTGAGTACAAATGTATGTTCATAGCTAATTTTAAAAACCGGTATTTAGTTCTCATTTATATCGTTTACTGGAAAGCTAAAGTAATGCAATTACCATGTCGATCCAATATCTGCATACATTTGATTTAGTCGTGAATCAAGTGTATATTAATAAGAAAAAAAATCATAAAACCATATGATAATTTCAGAGAGGTAACAAATACATAATTCCACTGGAACAATTTATCCGTTACAATTTTCCAATATTTATTACTATTTGATATATCTTTCGTTAGTTTTGTGCATCATTTTTTATTTTAGTGTATCCATCAATGTTTAAGAACATCTATCTTAGTATAATCATCATCATTATATAATATTTATCAATAGTTTACTTTATCCATCAACATTAAGTATGTTCAGCGTATTTTCGTATATGCATCGCTGTTATCATTATTTAAGTATATTTTTACCGTTTTAGTGTACTGATCATCATTGTAATGTATCCATCACTATTTTTGTACATGCATTATTATTTCATTATAGCCATCAATATTCTTAAACATTCGTCACTATTTCAGAATCCTGATTATTAATAAAAATATTTATCATTATTTTCAGTATAAATCATCATTTAAGCCGTCATTATCTGATTTTGTTCGTATATTTATCATTGCTATGGTTTATGGATCATTGATTTGGTATATACATCACTATATCGGTATATTCATCACTTTTTACTATATCCATTACTATTGTAGTATAAAGTGTAACACACCATATCTGTACCTTTAACCATTAAATCCAAACCATGATGTGGAACTAGAAAACAGCGGGAGCCGTAGGTTTGTTTGTTTTGATTTTCACTTTTTACTTTATCACGGTTTTTTTCTGCTTGTCTGGCCTGGAACACTTATACGACTGATCGATAATGAGGTGATGGAAATAACCGCCTGTTGTGTAATCTGTAACTGTTGGTGAACAGTCAGTAACACATATGTGCACAGTGGTAGTTTGAGCATTTATCTTGCTCCTGTTTCAGCATTTTGACTGCTAAATGCTGTCCGCATTATTAGGGGTTTTGTACGACACTAATAAATTAGATGTGATACGGCACCGTTGACTTGGCGTATATGCTGCTCGTTTATTGAAAACTCACGCCCATACGAGAGTGAAATAACATTTCACACTAGGAATTATCAATACCAGTTTACTACCCTTCACTCAACTTTAAATGATTATTGATATATAAAGAAAAACCGAATCACATTGTAACTGGCCGATATGTTATCAGCAAAGGTTTTGACAAATGTCATAAACTATCAATTTAATATTTTATTCATTAATAGCACAATGACTTTATAAACCAAAGTACACGAAACTAAATCTTCGTGATCGAATGTGTTTTTATCTCTCCAATTTTGCCAACGATTTACGTGATCTTACATTTGTTGTTGATTTGACCTCGAATGATTGATCTTAACATGGAATAACAGTCTTCCAACCCTTGTGATAAAATGTATCTATCGCACGACTACCCGGTTATCATTGTGTAATTACTGAAAATACTTTTCCATTAGGACGCCATGAATTTTTGATGTCATATGTATTGCGACGTCGTCAAAATAATCATTCTCGATACTCCAGGGATTTCTTTCGCTATCTACACCCTTAGAACATGTCGCGGGAAAATTAAAGGTTCCGTGTGCGGCACTTTGTGTACAAGACGAAAAGACTAGTTTGATCCTTTAATGTATATCAAACGAATCTCGAGGTCGCATAACGGTGTATTGTAAAGGTTTTGAAGTCATATATCTCTCCTTTGTATTCTTCAGTCTGTGATTGTTCAGTTTTTTCTCCTTGAACCAACCAAATTATTTCGCTTGTGCCTTCAATTTGCCACATGTTCCAGGAAGCGAAAGTGATCGCAATCCTTGGAGTATCAAAGAAGTAGTGACCGTAATCCCTGGAGTATCGAGGATGCAAAAGTCATATGAAATGTGAATATAGTATATGTAGATTTTCAATCGAATATAATATGCTGCTTTCACGAATGTTTGCTAAAGCATCTCAGTTATGATATGAACAAAATCCATTTCATATAAGATTGATGAAACTCAGCTTATATCATGTATTAATAAAGGGATCGTTTTATATTTTAGCATACATCGGATGTTTTATCGATACGTCGGATAGACTTTTGAAAGGAAGCAAATTATACGACTCTCTACTTACTACAGAAAAATGTATGCAGTGGTGTTTTCAGGGTAGCTATACATATACTGGCACACAGGTGAGCGCAGAGCCATTTTCTGACATTGAAAGTGTACAAGTTTAAATATCAATATTTCAAACCATTTTTGAAACATGAAATACGTATATGAAATAATTACGATTGTTGTCCCTGGTTGCATTGTAAGTCATATTATTATGTGATGAAATTTACATATCTTGTATCTCCAAGGGAAATATGACAGCTTAAGTCAGGTATTTAGCGCATGCTAAAAATGTTTTTTTTTTATTTTGAAAAAAAGCTCGTTATCCAATATTCGAAAAAAATACCTGGGATGTCCGGATGACAACCAATGATTTTTTTAATGGCAAATTGGGCAATAGCACCGTACCACCGAGTGCGCTACACACCACTAGGGGACACCATATTGGCCAAATGTATGAGAGATCGATCAATTAAATCAATAGTTTAATCGATTGCTTAATGAATAGTGAAAAGATGTCATTTATCACACTCTTGGTAAAGAAAGAATCCGGCAAGCCTGATAGCTGTGAACGATATTTATTGGGTCACGTGTCTCGTCAAGATATATGATTTCTACTCCTGGTAAAGAAAGAGTCTTACAAACCTAATAGACCATTATTTACACTTTTAGATATATCAATGACGATATTTTATCTTTATGAGACAGGCTGCCGATCATATTTACACTCTGCAAATTAATTGTTGTAGAACTCTATTAACTTGACACTTAAACTATTATTTCATACCTCCTTATTATTGTACTAATGAATATATTATAAACTTTGGCATAAATCATTAACATTGGGAGTTGACACGAATCTCTACTTGTATTTCTAGGAATTCAGTTTATGTCTTTTTTAAAAACCCTTTGAATGTTAGATGCAATAATTACAAAGGCAAACCTTATTTTCCAAACTTTCCGGATTAATGTGAATAGACTCAAATATGAATGAAAGTCTCTAAATTTTAATGAGAAATATAACAAGTCTTAGTTATTGGTGTTTCATTTCAAATTCCTGACTAAAATGTCTTTCCAGTACAGTACTCAATGTTTTTGTGGAAACAGTATTGACCTCACCAAGCAAACGTCAGAGGGTGCTTGCGACATGAGCTGTCGAGGAAAGCAGAGCGAGAATTGCGGTGGCATCTGGAGAATGTCCGTTTACACAACAGGTAGTAATTTGATTTAATAATAAAATTCATTGACTTTCATGGTATGGCACTTAAAGAGACCATGTGCTCGCTTTTTCCAATACAAAAAAAAATCTTCACTTTGTTCCTTTTACGTATCAGGTGTTGTTTAAAGGTAAAAAGAAACTTAAATACATAGAGATTATTTAATAGTGCTGCGCATTCGTGAAAGATACTAAAATATTACACACATTTGTGAAATATATTTGTTATAACTGAAATCACTCAAATATGCTCTATCTATTTAAGTATAGAAGGATGACATCAAATATATTTGTTAAAATAAATCATTGAATTATGTTATGAAGAAATATATCAGACCAACCGTTTAAGCAATTAACTTGTCTTATACCAACTTTGTGTTCATATCTATATCAATTTACAATTTTCTAACTCTGTTTCCATAGCATCGTTATACATGTGAATATGACAAGGAATGGGCTAAGGCTCATTGTTGTAGTCATTGAATTTGAGTACCGAACAGTATGATATGATATGCTGAATTGAATTGTAATTATAACTGATTCAATTATAGGAGGAAAATGAAATCTAGAATCGATTTGAAATATCACATACGCTTTGTGATGTTTTACATATTGTAATTTACGCAGACAATATGTAAATATGAATAGAAGTACTGATTATTTTTATTTCAGAATTTGCAATTACGACTGAAAATCTTGTAACTACCACAAATGCTGAAATCGAAACATCAGCTGTAGACATTCTCACTACAACTGAATATATTGAAACGTCTGCACAAACTGAAAAAACAACTGTAGTTATCCATACTTCAACCGAAGAGACGAATGTGACCATGACATTGTCAGATGACAGTGAAAATACCTCTTGTATTTGTAAATGTCAGACATCCACCTGGGGTAGCTTAGCGAATCTGACGATGTCACAAAAACAGGAAATACTGTCTGAACTTCAAGCTTTACTCACCGTAACGAAACATACTACGTCCATGTTTAGACGAAAACTTATCAGCAAATATGATTCGCGTCCAAGTAGCGTTACCATGGGATACGTAGCGATTGCTATTTTGTCATCTGTAACTGCTATGATTGTCGTCCCCGACGTTATCTGTTTGGTGTTGTCCGCGCATAGGTGGCTCTGTTGTAGGAGTAGAGAGTAAAAAACCAAAGAGAAAAGACGAAATGAATATATAATTAATATTCATTCTTTGTGAGTGCAGATGAGAAGATACTCATGACAGTGATATGGGGCCATTGGGGAGTCAGCGGCGACATTATTAATATTGCAATACTGTGTGCTAATGTGTTCACTAAAGCAGTCGGAACGCCACCACAATGTCATTGACTTTTGAAATATCTGACTATCAAACGACAAAATACGACAATGTTCATATCACAAATATTATTTAAACAACATAAAGCCATCCATTAATTTATTGTCAAAAAACTTATCTAAACGATGGCGAGATGTTGTAAATGAATGGATATACGTGGCTAGCAAAATTTTGTGGAGAAAACATGATTTTTTGCGATGTCCATAAATCGCTGTGTTATGAATCGAATATAACTCTAGCTTAACGCTGACTTATTGACGCATGGCAATGGATTTTTATTCACCAACGAGTAAGGAAATATACCGCCACTCGAACTTCTCCGATATACTTGTGATGTATGCGAGTATGATCAAAATGCCTGAAGGAATCGACCCACCAGAGCTGATTAAGGCCATTACACACTCACGTGTATACGGGAAAGTCCGTATATCCCCCTCGGGCTTTTAGTCGCGGGAGGATGACGAAATATGTAAATAAAGTATGTGCCTACAAATTCTGCTTAATTTTTAATATGATTTCATATTTTTTTAAAATATTTTGACAGGTATATTCTTCGACAATTCACAATTATCGTTCTAATTAGTTTCCCGATTCGTCAAGCAAAAAGTCACCAGAGATATGTGTGGCTGATTTCCTTCTGAACAATATCCAAGAAAAAATATATATGGATTAAAATAATGGATATTGATGTTCTGTCGGCATGAGTTGGGCAGTACCCTATCCCTTTACTGGATTGTTGACATCACGTTTGCGGCAACTTCCTGATTTGACAGGCAATGCGATAAAAAAGGTTAACGTTACACGAAAGTATAATGGTGCGTGATAACCGGATACAGCGTGGAATAGTAGCTCAGATAGCTTTAATATTGTAACATTAGATAATTAATTATTAAGCACGTGTCAGAATTAACGTCGAATATAATTCACTTAATAACGATGAAACGAAGAAGTCTCAAATATAGCTAAGTCAATGAATGGTACTAAGTGGTTACCGTTTGCAGAGTCCGACTCCATACTCTTCCGGTGTAGGACATTTAATGTAGTCTCGTAACAGCTGATATACCATAAACACAAAATCAAAAAGATTCCTTAAATTAGACAACGGATTCAACGTATCAGAAAAAGGGAAGGTTCGCAATGTTAACTTCAAGGGTTATTTAACGTTGAAGCAAAGTTTCCTTGTAGTAGCTGATGGTTTTCTCATGGTTGACTGTAGTTTCATGGTATCTCGAAAATACGCCACTGATTCTCTCAGCTGCCATAATGAAGCTTTACAATTCCCTTTAATGTGTTCATTATAAAATTTGATTGATTTATCGAAAAAAAAAAAAAAAAAAACTGACAAGCAAACGATCTCATTATTGCTATTTTTGTTTGATGATGTTTTCATACCGAACTACAAACTATGAAGACCAAAGTACAAAAATGTCGTTATCGGTAATATAAAAAAACCACCACATAGTGCATTATGTCCATCTGCTGTGTACATTTTCTACTATTCAAGTATGTTTACAGACTACTGTTGCTTCAGTACATTTTTACATTACATAGGACTGACTTTAAACACTGAACATTTGCACTTCCTAAACCTGCAGTTCATACCAAACTACATGGTCGTAGAACAATCAATTCCTTCGGATTATTTTCATTGCATTTTAAGTAAGATCAACAAGACAATAGAAATACTCTTCTCAGAATACGATTTTGGTATACATTTATTGAGAAATCTTGTCTTAATCACAGGAGATAATTGGAAAGCTTTGAATAAATGTCTTGGTGAGACATTTCTTTTTCACATATCGCGGAGTTACTGGCCGACTTCTACACTTTTAGCGCTCCATCTCGTCAAGGGCCTACACCACCCACAAAAAGAAGTTTAATAAAACTTCGAAAATATGTTAACGAAATCTTCAGAAATACGGATACTGAAATTTAATTACATCAGTTGAATAATTTTGCTTTTGTCAGAAAACTGTCTGGTTTACATATTGCAATTTGACATTAATCAATCTAGAGTATTACTGGTCAAAGAAATAACCAAATTAAATTATGGCGCGCTTTGATATAGCCCGAAAGGGTTGTTCGGGTTTTCAATATCTTTGCAACATCCGGAGACATATGAGCAAAAATGACAAGAAGACTAGAAAACATGCATCCAACGTGTTGCAATAGTAGCAGCGAACTTTGCATTAACATAAGCTCAATCTGAATCCTCTATATACGCCAACGAGAGCTTTGTGATGCAAACGCGTCTTTAAACTACTAAATTGGCTTGTTGATTATATAGTATCGTACCTTTCTACTTCCAGTGAGGATGACTGAGTGGAGATCAATTATACATTTAAAATAGTTTGGGGATGTTTCAACTTGGAACCCTCAAATGTTTTCATTTACAAATGAAATCTATGTTTTGTAACATTTTTCAAATATTAATTCAAGAGATCCTGTATACCAAGTTGTGTTGTTCCTTTCCATAAGTAGCATTGGTAATGAGAGAACTAACAGTAACGTTATTATTTCTAAATGTTTCTGTTGCTAGGATTATCCTAACATTCCATTTGTAAATGGCTAGCAAGGAGCGCTGTCTTGATGTTGATTTAGATACATAGTTAGCATTAGTAAAAGCACGTGGTCAAAAAATGCGGCTCATCTGGAGAAATATGGTGCGAAATCAAGATGCGAAGTAAAATTGAATGAAAAGTAGCTGTTGTTGTAATATTAATATGGTCATTACCACTCAACCTTAGCAGTGTCTAGATTTTGCAAATACAAACTGATTTGACCGATGACACAAAAAGTTATTTGTACCAATGTTTGGTCATGAGATTAGCATAGAATTGCAGACAAACTGATTAACGCGCTTTATCATTGGCTATACAAATTACATCTTGCACTATACACAGAAATATATAAGAAAATCGCCAATTATGTATTAACTTTTAAAATAATCGGTTATAACTGTCCATATGTATACCTCTTGCCTCATTAATTTCTTCACATAACGGCTTGGGTATCCGGAGGTTTGTGGTACAAAAAACCACTATAGTTAATAGTATTTATGTTACGAAAAGATATTGGGCTATCTATATGAACATGAACCGAAACGACAGACACAAAATGAACGTATCATGACTGTGTGTATGTTACATTACATTAAAATATTACCCATTGGTAACAAATAGATGTCTACATGTATATTTTTGAAATAGTAGAGAACTTTCTGCAAAAACTTCGGCAAAAGTTCAAAAATCCGTTAGGTTGTCGACTCTTAAATCAAATTAGAGTAAAATGGTCCAATAAGTTTCTTGTACCATATAATAATAGTGGTTGTCGCCAATGAAGCGGAAGACGCTTACTCTTCAGAAACATCCAGTGTTATTCTCCTTGTACTTTTCCAATGGTTTCAGTATTAATCTTCCTTTTGCTCATATTTTGCCCTCGTTTTCATCTATGTTGAACTACAATCTTATTGAGAAGTGACAGGTTTGGAAGAGATTTTGCAAACCGTTGCTATCTTGTCGTGTCTGGTTTTGGCAACGCATTTAGCCCATACTCTAAACTAAGTTTAAAATGATTAGCTTAAAGTCCCACCATCTACAATTCAAACGAGGGGAGTTTTGGGGCAATCCTATTCAACCCATAGACACATACTGCTTTCATAACACTTTTGTGTTCTTTGAAGCAAATGAAGTATATTGTCTGTACACTGTCCTCGTCCTGCCACGTGCATATACGTAACTTGTCTCCAACTTTACTTTCGCCCATCAATGTGATGTCAAACTTTTCCACAGGGTACCAACACATATCGGTGTTGAAATGTTTGTAAAATCCAGAAAAGGCAGCCGCTGTTGCACAATCGGTAAAAAATTGGATATACCGATGTGTAGTTACATGAAGATTTCGATCCATGTCACTATAACGTACAGTGACAGTGGTGTCATAGATGACTTTCGGCATTTCTGGTACACTTGGTAATGTATAAGGAAAGTTTGAATTATGTAACGGTACATTCCTGAATTTATCTGTAAACCATGTAGGCATAGGACAAGATTTTCTTGTCGTTTTGTCCACAACAACAAATTTTATGAAAAAGTCTCCCAGCTGTTCTTTTGTGACTCCATCGGTCATGGAGGTCAAATAACTGTATGAACTCGTACCCAAATGATACACAGAGGTAGACATGACTATTTTGGCGGCTGGTTTACTATATTTTGATATCAAATGTATTTTCGGTGTAACAGAGCATGACATTTGTACAACAAACAACAATAGTTGACGGTTCTTAAACAGGTCCTGCTTACTGGTGAATTTGTAAACATTAGGAGGGTGTGTTCCGGTCAAAAAGAGCTCCACGATGCTCCATACCGACAGGTTATCTGCAAAAGTAATAAGCGTGATATGTATAAGTAAGTTTTAGAGGACTTACGGAAAATGATTAAAATCAAGGTAAGGAGAGTGACATAGAAAATCTGTGGTCTAAATGGATATTTCATAGTTCCTTTTTCTTCAAACTTTGCGTATTTTCCTTTTAGAATTTTAGAAATATTGGCTCTAGTGGTTATTGTGATATATTCCAAACAAATGAATGTAACTGATTTATTTTACTTTGTAGTTATTAAAGTGTATTGTTATAAGTTACAATAGTCTATAATTTAACCTGCTTTTCTTTCTCTGGTATTGTAATGGTCAATAATGTACTGACGTAATGAAAAAAGAAACTCGTTTTTTATGAAAATAAACAGAATTTCGGATAAAGCATATATAAAAAAAAAAATCAACGATCACAACTGGATCTTTTTTTTATAACATCTCTCTCTCTCTCTCTCTCTCTCTCTCTCTCTCTCTCTCCCTCTCTCCCCCTCCCCCTCCCCCTCCCTCCCTCCCTCCCTCCCCTACTCGTCGAAAACAGCTGCTGGCGACTCGTCTCTTTTAATTATCTGATGAAACTCAGAACAAATACAAAAGAAAATCCAAAATTCAAGAAAAACTCTTGCATTGGAATTCGATAAAAATAGTATTTTGACTGTCTGACGCACAGACGAACGACTTTTGTACGAAACATGAGTTGGAGAGCTCAACAATTTGCGATGATAGCCCGAAATATATTAGCAGGAATTCACCCAGTCTATACATCATATTCACAAACCAATGCAAATAGTAAATTGTTATTGGCCAGCTTACTCATACTGCTGCTGGCTCAAAATACTCTGCGGATATAGTCAAGATTCAGAATACAATAAAATGTAAGCCTTTTCAACCAGGGGTATGTAGTGGTGTGCAAAACATGTATATACCATGCAGGTGCAAGACAAAAGTAACAGAGACAATGCTTATTGTAGATCGGTCAGAATTCGTCAGCTACTCAGTGCGGACGTTCGAGTCCACCATAAGGATAGCACACAAAACAAATAAATACTGTCATTGACTGATCATGCTTTACCGGATGTCGATGAAAGGACGGATTTTCCAGAAACAATGTTTTTCAATATTACTTTTCAATCAACTTAAACGTAGCAGCCAAAGATATAATATTCTATAAGACACTGAGAAAGGTAAGTGAAAGCCATAAGGACAGATTTTTACGCTGTCCGTGGACTATTGTTCATCTGTAGGAAAAACTGCCCCATAACCAATTTGTAGTCTTGGTTTGACTATGGAAAATACCGCTCCAGAAAACTGTTGATAGGGGTGATAAAAGGCTAAGAAATCCGTCGAAAAGCACCTAGAATAAAGACACGAGCAAAATGATTGGTAAACGTATACCAAGAAATACTTAAAGCTCTCTCATATCTTGGCTATAAGTACTCACTTGTACGGTCGAAGAAGTGGCCTGGTATTCCGTTTATCTCGACATCTATCCGTGCCAGGGACTCGTGTGTGATCTTCAAGTAAGCCATCTTTTTTAAAGAGTGTAAACAAAGTGCATTAACTCCATGTCCTGAACAAGAAAAAATTTCTTTTATGAAGAAGTATAATACGTTTTTTAATCTCCGTTACAATATAATCTTCCATCTTGATTTATTTTAAGTATTCTATTTCTCTGCAATATAAGTCAATAATTGTAATATCATATTCCATCATGATTCTTTTATATTATGATATTTTATAACATGACATTACTTACTTTGATTGACCAATATTTACATGGCTGAAACATTGCGGAACACCCAGCAATGGTCTTACATTAATTTTCTCTTATTCAAATTTCACTGAGGTTTAGTTTTGAGACTTTTTAAACTGGAAGGCTTGTTTTTTGTTTAGCCATTTTGAATGAACTGATTGAATGCTGCTAAAAGTTAAAATGCAAAACAAAAAAATCGTTTTAAACAAGAACAGAATGTGTTTATAGAAACAGATCCAAATCGTACATGCATAAATGTAAGATCTAAGCCACATTATGACTTCTTATTCAGAATCGGCAAGAATCGGTCGCTCAATAAGAGCAAACATAAACTTACAGTGTGGTTTATGTGAACCTACTTCAAAAACAAGTTTTCACTTACCGAATTTAGTCATGTACAACATGGATCGCTCGCTTAATGTAATGATTTCTTCATCCAAAATTAAATTTGTAAGGATTGTTGAATGCAACACCTTGTTTAAGATATGGAATTGATTCGTTCCATAATTTGTAATCTTACAATTCATTTCCTTCAATCCGACATCTAGATCTAAACCTTGTTTATTGTAGAGGATAGAAAAAATAGACATGTATAAAGGAAATCTAGTGACATCCGACACCTATATCTAAGTCTTGTTCATCGTAGGGGATAGGGAAAATAGACATGTATAAAGGAAATCTAGTGACATCCGACACCTATATCTAAGTCTTGTTCATCGTAGGGGATAGGGAAAATAGACATGTATAAAGGCAATCTAGTGACATCCGACACCTATATCTAAAATAGACATGTATAAAGGAAATCTAGTGACATCCGACACCTATATCTAAGTCTTGTTCATCGTAGGGGATAGAAAAAAATAGACATGTATAAAGGAAATCTAGTGACATCCGACACCTATATCTAAGTCTTGTTCATCGTAGGGGATAGGGAAAATAGACATGTATAAAGGAAATCTAGTGACATCCGACACCTATATCTAAGTCTTGTTCATCGTAGGGGATAGGGAAAATAGACATGTATAAAGGATAGGGAACCTAAAAGTCTTGTTCATCGTAGGGGATAGGGAAAATAGACATGTATAAAGGAAATCTCGTGACATCCGACACCTATATCTAAGTCTTGTTCATCGTAGGAGATAGGGAAAATAGACATGTATAAAGGAAATCTCGTGACATCCGACACCTATATCTAAGTCTTGTTCATCGTAGGGGATAGGGAAAATAGACATGTATGAAGGAAGTCTAGTGACATCCGACACCTATATCTAAGTCTTGTTCATCGTAGGGGATAGGGAAAATAGACATGTATAAAGGAAATCTAGTGACATCCGACACCTATATCTAAGTCTTGTTCATCGTAGGGGATAGGGAAAATAGACATGTATAAAGGAAATCTAGTGACATATATGTATGTGTTCTTCTCATTTGAACCTTTTTAGGATTGTTTTCTATCAGACCATATTTCCTAGTGAACTGACAAATGCTTTAAAACATGATGCAAAATACTGTCGTATCATCAAGTCAATTGAATTTGAAACATTGAAACGAAAAAATAATAAATAAGGAAAGAAAAGCACGAAAAAACCCATAGTAATGAATATCTCAGTATTTCCGGGATTGAAATAAACTAGACATCTTTATTACAAGGATATCGATATTTATAGCGATACTCAACGCGAATGACTTTAAAATCTTATGTATTTTCAGCAGAACACATGTTGCATACCGAAAAAAAATCATTTCGGCGATACCTGCGATACGGCGTGCGAGACATTTGCAAATGATAAATTAAAAAGTACCAACCAGCACAGAAGATTTTGAAGCAATAAAGATAATATCAGGTTTGTGGGTAACCAATTGTTTGAGTTGGAACTTAGACATCGGTGTAACACAAGTCATAATCTAGCTGACCTATATGATGGCATGAAAAAGTGTCATTCTTAAAAAAAACTCAAAGAAAACAGGAAACTGGAAATTCAAACCGTGACGCTACAAGTTAAAACCAACAGTAAACCTAGCTGGGAGATTGTTTATGAAAAAATCCAATAGCTTTAATAACCGCTTTTGTATTTCTGTACAATCGACTAATATTATATTGATCATAAACAATTGATCGGCAATATACACAGAAGACAACCATACGCATGGGAAGTGAAAACAAGTCTGTGAAGTGAACGTGTTATAGAAGCATACATGTATATACATTTTCGATCAACCCCTTTGAAGTGCCCCTGACTTTGGTTTGTGATATAAACATCCGGTTGTTTTTATTCAACCAGCCAATTATATAAACACCGACATATTTTACTTTGACGTCCTGTGCGTTTTAGTGTGTCTGAGAATTTGAATAGTTAACCTAACGCTGTATAATCAGTATATGGTGTAATGGAGATAGAGATAATCAGTATTGACAAGCTTGAATGTACTCAACTCAAGTACTCAACACTGATTTTTATAATCTAGTTGAATGATTAACCGTAATTGCAACATACGTTCTATATATTTTTCGTCTCGGCATGGTGACGCAATTATTTCAATTTGGTTCCATTTATTTATTTGTATATTCTATTCGATATTGAAGCTTACCTTTATATCATATCCCTTCTTCCAACCGGTACGCTGTCACATGCTGTCTACCGCCGTCGTTTGACCTTTGAAATAGGGGCGACCTACGGGGTATTTAATTGTTAAGATATAGTAAATTTACTGCATTTATCGTAAATTTATACATGCCAATAAATACTATATGAAAGACATCATGACACTTAGAAAAGGACTTATTAGAGTGAGTTGGAACATGAACATTAATATAACAGAGGTGAAAAAGCAGTTTCAGGGTATCTTCAAAGGTTCAATCATTTATATTATTTGATGTTAGTATGTAAAAGTTTTTTAACACAAACAAATTTGAGTCTCGGCCGAACTCGATACAAAGATTTAGCTTCTATTACAAGAATGCATGCATATCAAATAAGACTTTTAGATCATTTCATTATTTAGATTAGTTAGCTTGTCAAAAACAAAATGCAATGATAGAATGAAGTAATTACATTTGACGAATGACTCATTAAGAAAGGAATCTGTTTGGAGAGTTGAATTAATTAGATACTGAAAAAGAAAAACGACGTGTTATTGACAAAGAAATTCTTCGTTTTTATTCTTCCTTAGCAACACATCGTTTTACTCTACATATAATTACCTTTCCGTTAAGTCGTAACAAATAATGGATGGGTATGTTGCAAACTACCTTGCCCATCGTCGATGAGATAAGGATTTTCTAGATCTACTTTTTTCACTGTATATATAGATTAGAGAAAAAATTAGAACCTAACCTAACCTAACCTAACCGAACAGTAGTCTTTGTAAGATTTGCACAATAATCCATATACATACATACATACATACATACATACATACATACATACATACATACATACAATTGTTTTAAGCATTACAGAAATAGGCACGAACCAATTTCACTTTTCAAAAGAAATGAAAAATATTCATTTAAGTTAACAAATTGAAACCATCGCCAATGTATCGGGAAGAGGTAGGTTGATTTCAAACATATTTGCCCCCAAACTTCGTGGGAGCAAAGCAGCATATAATTGCAAATGTCAGAGGACCATGAACGCCCAGTTCCAGGATGATGATGCTTATTATCGGTTTCCTCTAATGAAAGCGTCATAACTCATTGTTAGTATACGACTGGTTGATTTGCAGATTAGTTTATTTTGCGATAGAAAGAAAATGCTCCTGTTCATTTCTATATATGGGAGATAGTGAACATTCTTTGCTCCTGGCCATAATTCGCCGATTCATTCAATGAGCAGGTCGAACCAAGACACGATAGAAATCAGAAACATATTCTGAACCACTTGATCAATGGAGTTAGAGATGGTTAGAGTAACAGTGTTGTCTCCCTTTATTGTTCTAGTTGTGGACTTATTTAGAAAGATTATCTGCTTTTTATACTATCTGGGCACATTGCTCATTCCTCTGTGTAAGATAAGTTGTGTGAGTGCTAAATATTCTATAAAGTAACTTCACTTCAAATAAATATATTTCTTTATCATAAAAGTTCATGATCAAAATTGCTTAATGGTATATGCTTAGATAATGACCCATTAGCCAGGAGTATCAAACACCGCTTTTTTGTTATATCATTGAATACTAGGGGTATATTGATTTGTTGTGTTAATACAATATCAATGTTATGGCTAACCTGTCCTCGTCACACCGTCCATATTAATTTATATCAGTCCATGACGTTTTTCCAGTGTACAACAGTTAGCTAGCCGATTAATGGATAGAGATACAATTTTTCAAAATTACCATATCAACTGAGCGAAGAAAAATATATAACATCTTCAAATATCAATAATGTTAAAGATTTTTATAACTTGAATGATTGATATCTGGAAGATTTTTCGCATAGATTTAGAATCCAATACAGTATAGTCAAATAAAGACTTAAACTGCATCATATTATTGTCTATCCTAGGACTCGTCACTAATGCTTAGGAAACATGATGATCCGTAGACTTGACGTGAGGTGAATTTCTTGATATATTCTTACAAATGTCAGAAGACCGCAACATGAAAATAATACTCTTATCCACTTCCCAAAATATATGGATGTCACGAATAAATGACAAAATGATAACGCATTGGTAAAAAACTTGCGATTGTCATTAGACAAGGCTAAATTTAGTCACTGTGGTGTTATATAATGTGTTGCGTTTTTAATTAATTTTTCAAAATAGATTTAAA